AGAAATTTAATTTGATTTTTTAAATCAACGATTTCACCGATTTACACGCGTTTTCCCTTGACCAAATTTTGACCGTATCACCCTTTAAGGGGGCTTTTGATTCAGTATCGGTTGAAGTCCTTTCAGACAAACTCCACGCTTGTGGCCTTTCCCCATTAATTAATAACTTTTTGTACAATTTGCTGTCAGAGAAACATATGAGCTTTTCTCATGGAAACTCTACAGCTTCTCGATTTAGTTACATGGGTCTCCCCCAGGGGTCATGTTTAAGCCCCCTTTTGTATAATTTCTACGTCAGAGAAATTGACAATTGTCTAAGTGACAACTGCACGTTGAGACAACTTGCAGATGACGGCGTAGTGTCTATGACAGGGCCCACAGGGGTCAACCTGCAAGGACCCTTACAGGATACCTTAGACAATTTGTCTACTTGGGCTATCCAGCTAGGTATCGAATTCTCCACGGAGAAAACTGAGTTGGTCGTTTTTTCTAGGAAGCATAGCCCAGCACAACCGAAGCTTCAACTTTTGGGTAAGCCGATCACTCATTCCATGTCTTTCAAATATCTTGGGGTCTGGTTCGATTCCAAATGCACCTGAAGATCCCAAATTGAGTATCTGAGACGAAAATGCCAACAAAGGATCAATTTTCTCCGAACAATTACCGGAACGTGGTGGGGAGCTCATCCGCAAGATCTTCTAACGTTGTACCGGACAACGATTTTATCGGTTTTAGAGTACGGTAGTTTTTGCTTCCAGTCGGCGGCTAAAACTCACATCATCAAACTGGAACGTATCCAGTATCGTTGTCTTCGTATCGCGTTAGGATGCATGCACTCGACTCATACGATGAGTCTCGAAGTGTTGGCGGGCATGTTTCCACTATCGGATCGGTTTTCGGAATTGTCCCTCAGGCTCCTCACCCGTTGTGAAGTTATGAACCCACTGGTAATCGAAAACTTTGAGAAGCTTCTTGAGCTAAACCCTCAAACTCGTTGTATGTCATTGTATTACGTGTACATAACTCAGGATGTCAGCCCTTCACAGCATAATCCCCATCGTGTATGCTTCTCCGACTTCGGCAATTCAGTTAGTTTTGATTTATCTATGACGCGGGAGATTCGTGGAATCCCAGAACATCATCGTTCCATGATTGTTCCGTCAATTTACGCTGCAAAGTTTGGCCAAGTTGATTCCGCAAGATCGTTCTTCACAGATGGATCACTAATAGAGTCGTCCGCTGGTTTTGGTATTTTTAACGAATTTCATAGCGCCTCTCGAATGCTTCAAGCTCCTTGTTCCGTATATGTTGCTGAACTGGCGGCAATACACTATACGCTAGAAACGATCGCCTCACTTGCACCAGATCACTATTTTATTTTTACGGATAGTCTCAGTTCTGTCGAGGCTATTCGATCCATGAGGCCGGTAAAGCACTCCTCGTATTTTCTCATGAAAATACGAGAGCTTCTGAGTGCTTTATCTTTAAGATCTTTTGTCATCACCTTTGCATGGGTCCCATCTCATTGCTCGATTCCGGGCAATGAGAAGGCGGACTCACTTGCTAAGGTGGGCGCTATGCAAGGCGATATTTACGATCGACAAATCGCCTACAATGAATTTTTCTTCATTTATCGTCAACAGTCGCTCGCCAGCTGGCAAAATAAATGGAGTGAAGGAAGTTTGGGACGATGGCTATTCTCGATCATCCCTAAGGTGTCGAAGAGTCCTTGGTTCAAGGGGTTGGATGTGGGTCGAGACTTCATTCGTCTGATGTCTCGCCTCATGTCCAATCACTATTCGTTAAACGCTCACTTGTTTCGTGTTGGGCTGGGAGACAGCAATCTCTGTGAATGTGGAAAAGGTTACCAAGACGCCGATCACATCCTTTGGTCTTGTGCTGAGCATCGTGGAGTCAGATCTGAGCTGTGCGATTCCCTTCGGGCTCGAGGTAGACAACCTAATGTTCCAGTTCGGGATATTTTGGCTAGACGTGATCTGGAGTTTATGAAACTCATATATGTTTACTTTAAGAATACTAACCTTAGATTGTAAATTTGATTAACCTTGTGTTTAGTTTGTGTATTGTGCGTGTAGTTTTTTTTTTAATGTTTGTTTTCAAGATGAATAGAAATAAGTTCATGTTTTAGGATTAATTAAATATGTGTATAATAAATCATATTTCAAACCTCCTTCTCCCTTTCCCCATCCAAAAAATTGTAAATCTCCACTAACCTCGAGACGACCGCGAGTAATCGGTTCAATTCCTTTAACTCTAGATTTAAGACATTATTCATGTATAATGCAAATGATAACTCGGCTCTGTAAAGTTTATTCGATTGAGCCTGTACAAATAAATTAATATATAAAAAAAAAAAATAATCCATAGAACACACGGCATTCACTATGGATATAGGTATAACATATTATTTCGACCCCATTTCTCGGCCACTCGACTCCAACTAAACCGCAAAGATCAGAATTGAACTATTTACTGGACCAAGTTTCCGAACCAAAGAGATCCGAAGCGTAAACTTCCATCCTTGGCATGTACACTTTGGACACATGGGCGGACATATATATGAATAGATAGTGTACACATTTATTACATATTCACTCAAAGCGCCAATGTCATGTTCCGTTTCCAGGGAGGGTGTCAAAATATTGTCAGTAAAAGCCCTGGCAGTTTGCATCATGATCAAGATCCGGGATGCTGCAGAATGCGGGGACCGGGCGCATGCAGGAAAACCTCAAAACTGTATAATATCTTTTCCGGGACTTTTGGAAAAGGGATCCGAAAATTCATTCGAGCACAGCCAAGCCGAAGCATGTGCACCGAACAACCGCAGTCATGATGCTCCTTTTGTTCGGAGGTGTGTGTTTGTGTGTGTGCAGCACGAACCGTACCTAACAGGCAGCTGGTGTTGTCGGTTAAGAAGCTATCCATTCAGGATTTCAGCAGATTTGCGATAATGGCAGGTTTTTGAGGGTGGTAAATTTTCTCGGATGTCAAATGAAATTTTGTATTATATGATTTTATTCTGGAGAGCTTCCCGGGTAACCACATTTTGGGACAAACTCTTCAATTGTTACTGTTCTGGAAGGGTTTGTTTAATTTGTAGAATGAGACAAGCCTTTCTTTTTTGTTGGTCACATTTCCATCTCAGCTTTTTGTGCTTTCACAAAGCCAGAGCTTGTTTGGCGCAATACTGAAACAAATCGCATCATTATATACTGTACCGAAATTGCCCCATACAAATTGAGAGCGTCGTGTACTCATTACATCCTCCGGAAGCCCATTCCGCACCGGGGAAAAAAATAAAAACAGCCCTGCATGCAATCTGATTCCACGCAAAAACTTTTCCCTCATTTGTTTCAAACCCATTCGTGAGGGCAGCCAAGTAGCAACAGTTCAAAACGATCGCTTCCGTCGCGTCGTTATGCCATATGTGGATAGTCATCACTGCCGTGAATACGGGATTGAGATTGTTGCACTTTGTGTTCCGGACAGGCACAATGTTTCTGGTTGTTTTGGTAAACAGTAAAAGTTGTAATAAAAGTAGTCCCTGGCAATTGGCAGACCAATAGCATTTTTCCTTTTTCAATCGATCCATGGGAAGGCAAACGGGGGAAGGGTGAGGTTGGTGGAAAAACCAACAGCTGCATCAATTGTGAGCGGATAAATAGCTTTATTTTTCAGTTGCACTTCCAGTTCGTGAAGTTTCCGGTTGTGGAATGGTTTTTCTTTTTATTTGTTTTAGTATGGCGAAGTATGGCGGGTGACCAGCTAGGCTTGGCTCTTAAGAACTTCTGATAAAAAAAGTCTTTTATAGAGCAAACATTCCAAGCTAAATGCGGCATGGTTGACGTCCTACTTCATTTTACGTTCTTTATTGATTTTCAAACAATTAATACATTTCAATACAGTTGACGTACATTCCGACGTGTTGAGTTGTTGGCTGCACCTAGAGCATCTATCACAATTTTTGCAATCCATGCTCTTGTGCCCAAATTCTCCACATTTGAAGCATCTCAACACATTAATCGCGGGAACTATCGAGCACCGATCAAACCCTACATTTACTTGTTTCGCACATAACAAACATTTATACGTATGAACATCGATTTCAATTACAACACTAAACTTGTTATAAGTGAAGCGTGGATTTTCAAACGGGGCCTCCCTTAGCTCAGTCGGTGAAGGCGCAGCTACAAAGCAAGACCATGCTGGAGGTGGCAGGGTTCGATTCCCGGTTCGGTCTAGGAATTTTCGGGTTGGAAAATTCTCGACTTCCCTGGGCATAGAAGTATGATTGGACTTGCCACACAATCATATCAATGCAAAAATGGTACAGGCATCGAAAGCTCTCAATTCATAACTGTGGAAGTGCATCTAGAACACTAAGTTGAGAGCACGCAATAAGCTAATATGTGATATGCAATAAGCTTGAAATTCAAAGAAGAAGAAGAAGAAGGATTTTCAAACATTTTCGCTACTTTTACATCATTAATAGCGATGTCTTCATTTTGACTTTTTAAGTACTCAATGAAGACATCGGAGGAATACTGATCGCTCATGCCCACTATTTTCAATCTTGACACCGAAGTGGGAACAACAGCACTATATTTTTCATCCAGATTGCTTTCAATACCATTTTTTACATCATTTAGATTAGCTCCTGTTGCACACTCAACAATAATGGAACCATCTTTACCATTCCTGAAATTACTGATTTTGTGTGTTTTTGGATCTAACTGTGTTTTCAAAAACTTACCCGACACTTCTCCTCAACTATTGCTGCTTCAATGATGATCCTTCAGAGACTCGGTTAGACCCAGTAGACCTGAAAGCTTCTTGAATTTCATCGTACCCAGTGGCTTGGTAAGGATATCAGGCACCATTAACTCTGTAGGGCAGTAGCTGAGCTTCCTTGATGTACCTCTCTTTCGTGTCCACATGCTTGTAGCGATGCCATGTTCGTTCTGATTGCACAAACTGACTGGTTGTCCTCCATGATGATGGTTGGGCCATCCACAGTCTCTCCAAGATCTTTCAATAGCTTTCTTAACCATACAGCTTCCTGACTGGCCTCTCCAAGAGCAACGTATTCCGACTCCATGGAGGAGAGCGTCACACAATGCTGCAGTCTGATCGCCCATGACACTGCTCCACCCGCGTACAAGAACACGTATCCCGAAGTAGACCGACGGGTGCTAATGTCGCCGACCCAGTCGGCATTAGAATATCCAACGAGGCCTTCGGTATTGTTGTTGAACTCCAATCGCACGTGTTTGGTCGCCTTCAGGAAACGAAGCACTCTCTTGGCAGCTGTCCAGTCCGCAACGGTTGGTGCACAAACCTTTCTTCCGAGGATGGAAGCGCTTACAGCCACATCGGGTCGTGCACAGACGGCTATATACAGCAGTACACCGATGAGACTTCGGTACTCGGTGTTATCTGGGAACGGTGCACTTGAATCGATGGTCGATGAGAATCCCGTGTCCATTGGACTCTTCGAGGCTTTTACATCTTGAAGTCCAAAACGAGAAACAATCTTATCTATGTATCCCGCCAACGAAACGCTGTACCGCCCGTTGCGGCGCTAAATCTCCATTCCCAGGAACAAGCTCGGTTTTCCCAAGTCAGTGATATCGATTTCGTGCATCGCTCACACGATCGATCTCAACCACCCACGTCGCTGCTTCCGATGAGGATATCATCTACGTAAATAATTGAGTAGACTTTGGCTCCCTTAGCCGTTTTTACGTACAGACATTGACCCGAACCGCTCTGCTTGAACCCCAAGCGCAACAGCACGGCATGTAACCGATGATTCCAGCATCTTGCTGATTGCTTGAGTCCATAGATACTGCGATTCAGCTTAAAGACGAAGTCTTCTTTTCCAGCAATCCCGGTGGTTCACCGTACAGGTAGGCGGTCTTCACATCCAAATGACGTAGGGTGAAGTTCTGCCGTGACGCCACCGCCTAGAATGTGCGCAACGTTGTTTGCGTGGTGACAGGAGCAAAAATCTCATTGTAGTCCTCACCATATTGTTGTGCATAACCTTGCGCGACCAGACGCGCTTTGTGTTTCACAATATTTCCGTTGGCATCCCGCTTGACTTTATATATCCACTTGCTCCCGATCGGTTTCTTGCCATCAGGTAGCTTCACCAGTTGCCATGTGCCATTTACAGCGTGAGAGTTCAACTCCTCCTGCATCGCCATCTGCCATCGGTTCAGCTTATTCAATTTAGCGCTGCTATAATCTGGTTCTGGCAGCGCCTGTAGAGATCCACCAGTTAAAAATGAGCCGGTGTCAGAGGTTCGAGATCTGTAGGTTCATCAGATAAAGGAGTCAATGTCCTTGAATTTAGGCAAGCTTCGATTTGTGTTAGAAGAGTTGTGAAATCTTCGTATGACGCAGGATTTCCTCCCAGAAGATGACATTTTACTGAGCAAACTGCGGCTTCCCACAGCCCGCCAAAGTGCGGGGCAGCTGGAGGGTTAAAGTGCCAGTGTATTTCTTGATTAGTGCACTCCTTCGTAACTGCTTCCTGATGTCCATTATCCTTCAGCAGCTGAAATAGTTCCTTCATTTGATTTTTGGCTCCGACAAAATTGGTCCCATTGTCAGAGTATATGTCGGTGCATCTTCCTCGTCGTACTATGAACCGTGTCAATGCTTGCAGAAAACGATCAGTACTCATATCCGTGACCAGTTCCATATAAACTGCTTTAGTGCACATACACACGAAAACAGCAACGTATGCTTTTATTGCAGCTCGTCGTTGACCATCACGGATATAGACCGGTCCAAAATAGTCAAGGCCGGTTTTGGAAAACGGTCTGGCGACCGTCACTCTCGCTGTTGGTAGTTCACCCATTTGCTGCTGAAGAAAAGAAGGCTTTGCTCTGAAGCAGCGTTGACATTTGTGAACCACCTTCTTTGCAGTACGCCTTCCTCCTAGTGGCCAAAATCGTAATCGAACCGTGCTGAGAAGTATTATTATTATTATTTAGCTTTATTAAGGAGGCTTTGCTGAGAAGTAACTGTGGTCCTGCATGTAATAATTTTTCGTGACAATGCTTCATGATCATTTCAGACAACAAGTATTTTGCTGGTAGAGTCATCGGGTGTTTAGTTTCATACGTTTCTTTTGACTGACCCAATCTTCCACCCGTAAAACTTCTTCCTTTGCCATTACAGGTTTAAGCCAGCGTAAAACGGATCCATTTTGTACGGAGCTAGTTTTCGACAGCGCTGCACTTTCCTTGGAGAATGTTTCTTGCTGTACACATCGTACAATCACCATCTCTGCTTGCTTCAGTTCCGTGCTGGTTAAGAACCCATGGCCTTCCGATCTGGTGTGACGTAATAGTGCCATTAATCGTAGCCAATACGCTGTACTCTGGATCATCTTGGTGTACGAAGAGAATTTAGAGATGAACGAAACGCTGAACGGTGGTTCTACCGTGCCTATGTTGACTACAGTGCTACACCGTTTTTCAGGAACATCCTCCAGATGAACATCTTGTTGATGTGGCCATCCCGTCTGCTCGTCCTTAAGCCAGTTAGTGCCCTCCCACCACAAACTGCATTCCTGGATTATTGTTGGTTGAACCCCTCGCGATATTAGATCCGCTGGGTTGCTGATACCTGGTACGTGTCGCCATGTATGATTTTCCGTGATTCGTTGTATTTTTGCGACTCGATTCGCCACAAATGTGGTCCATGCTTCGGAGTCGCACTGATCCATCGCAGTACGCATGTTGAATCTGTCCAGAAGAATGTGTGAAATGGACCCTTGATTGCTTCCGATGCTTTTTCGAATAGCTGTGCTGCTAGTAAAGCACCACACAGCTCCAGCCGTGGTAACGATTGTGCCTTCAAGGGAGCCGCCTTAGATTTGGCCGTGAATAGTTGAACCGACAACTTGCCTTGCTCTCCCACACTTCGAATGTACAAACAGGTACCGTACGCCTTCTCCGAGGCGTCTGAGAAACAATGTATCTCAACTGATTTTGCCTTTGATACGATAACGCAGCGAGGTACTCGAAGCTCGTTTAAGCATACCAGTTACTCATGAAAGTTTCACCACTCCTCCCCCACCGTGTTTGGTAATGGCGCATCCCAATCCAATCGTTCCCCTCGTTCATTTCGCAAACTCCATAAATGCTGCATGATGATTTTTCCCAGTGTTATAGTTGCCCCCAAAAGTCCAAGAGGGTCAAAGAGCGTCGCTATGGCAGACAAAACCTTCCTTTTGGTAAGAATTTCGTCTGGCTGGAAGGTTGGTATTTGAAATTGGTATTTGAAACAGTCGGTTGTTGGTAACCAAGTTAACCCCAAGGTTTTTACTGATTGATCCTGTTCCTAATTAACTTCCTCCGTGGTCGGAAGCGCTAGATTGTCTCGCGGTATGCCATCCAAAGCTGCTGAGCAATTAGACGCCCATTTCCTTAGCTTGAACCCGCCACTTGCCATCATGGCGTTTAATTGTTTTTGTAGTTCCACTGCTGTTTCAATGTCATCTGCGCCAGAGATAACATCATTCATGTAGATATCCTCATCTACAGCCTTTACTGCAAGGGGGTACCTTTTCCGCTCGTCTACAGCTAGTTGCTTGATCGTACGAGTTGCCAAAAAGGGTGCCGGTTTCGTTCCATACGTCACCGTCGTAAGCTCGTACGTTTCAACTTCTTCGTCTGTCTCGAACCGCCATAAAGTACTTTGCGGTGGAATATCCGTTGGGTTCATATTAATCTGCTGATACATTTTTTCCGCATCCGCTACCAGCATCACCTGACGGGTACGACTGCAGAGAACTATTGTACGGAGATCTTGCTGGATGACTGGCCCGACCAGTAGTGTATTGTTGAGGGAGATCCCTCTCGAAGTTTTGCACGAGGCGTCGATGACAACCCTCACCTTTGTAGTTGTGCTGGCCTCCTTCACAACTGGATGATGTGGTAAGTAGCACCGCTTACTCCCGTTCAGAGCATCATCCTCCACCTTCCGCATGTGACCTAGTTTCAAATATTCCGTCATGCAGGCCTTGTACTGTTTCGATAGGTTCTCGTCCCTTGAGAGCCTGCGTTCCAGTCCTTGCAGACGTCTAAACGCAATGTCCTTAGATTCCCCGAGTTGTGATAGAATATCCTCATCCTTGGGAAGTGTCACAATGTAACGACCGCCTGCTTCCCTTTGAACTGTGCGTGCATACTGCTCCTCGCAGCGTGCTTCCTCTGGATAGTAGTTGTTGGAAAATCCCACTTCCTCGCAGGTCCAAAAACGTTCCATGAGCTTTTACAGATTGTCTGAAAATGCCATATTACAGACTGCCCTTGTTGATGATGGCGTTTCAATAACTTCTCCTGACACAACCCATCCAAATACCGTCTCCGTTAGCATGGGAAGACCGTGACCCAATGACATTTCATGTCCTGTCTTGAAGAAGCTGAAGAAGGATTGTATTCCCTAGACCAGATCTACTGTGCTTGCCTTGAAGAAACTTGGATCAGCCAATTCTATTCCTTCTGGAAATTCCCATCCTTTAGTATGCACCGATGTTGTAGGTAGATTGACGGTCACTTTTGGTAACACCAGAAAGCTCAGGGACCGACGAAATAGTGAAGCTCGTGACTTAATTGCCACTTGCAGCCGCTGTGTTGCCTTTGTCGCGACGTGGCCAATACCCAACACCGACACGTCGACTTTCTTTCTGCTACGAATGTTCAAGCGCTGTGAAATTGCATTCTGAACCGGAGTCAAGTAATGCACGAGCTGGATATCGAGATCCCGTATCGTCTTCAACGAGAACTAATGCTGTGGCAAGAAGAATGCTTGAAGTTCGCCTATGAGCCATGTTAGATGATGCAGTGCTAGAGGATGCCGTATTCGCCTCTTGCTGATTGGTAGCTGCCGACGACCTGTTGTTATTGCCAGACCCTCCCTTATTTCCATTTGGGGCAGCTTGAAGTTTTGAGTCTGATTCACCCTTAAAACAGACTAGAGTGTGATGATGAGCCTTACATTTCCGGCAAGTGTACTTTGAAAAACAGTCCCTTGCCAGGTCTCCTCTCTTAAGGCAATTACGACAAAGAGCATGTGTACGAATCAGAGACTCTCGACTGGAAACCGTCATTTGAAGAAAGGATGGACAAAGATGCAGCAAATGGTACTCCGTGCATGCAGGTCATTTCAATGAAGTTGACTGCACAGCGTTGTTGGTGACACGAACCCACTGTTTCCTTTTCATTACCGCTGGTACCGACTCTTGACGACTATCAGAAGATCTTATGGGTAGCGATTCTAAAATACGAATGCGACGTTGAATAAAGTCAATGAGTTCCGGCAAAGTGTCGTTGAAGAGAACTCTTCCCATCCACGCCGTGTACTGGGGTCCAACCGTGCACTGAGAACTTCTATCAGCAAAAGATCCTTATAATCTGCCGGCTGAACTACTTGATCCTATGTTTGAATGGATCGCTCAAACCCTTCCAAAAGCCTCTGCAGGTCGATCACTGATTTCTTCCCAAGGTTTGGCAGTTTAAAAAGCGCCTGAACATGCATTTTCTTTATCAACTTGCTTTTATTATATCGCTTTTGAAGGGTTTCCCATGCTATCGAATAGTTGCCTCGAGTGATTTTCAATGAATCTACTAACGCCTTCGCTTCACCTCCGAGACAACCCTTAAGGTAATGGAATTTTTCTACTTCTGATAAATCTGGCTTCCGGTGAATCAATGAAGTATAAAGATCCCAAAAGCTCAGCCACTCGTCTATGTTGCCGTCGAAATTTTGAAGTTTAATTTGCGGCAGACGAACATAATCCATCCATCCATGCAACGTTGCAGCTGATTCGTCGAGAGCTGACGTATTTGTAAATTCCTTGGCCTTGTCAAGCAAAAATGACTTGACGTCATAGTAGCGGTTTTCAAAATCAAAACGTTCCTTTGAAAATACATCGCTTTCAGTGTATTCCTCGTGAGTTTCGATTTCATAGAGAGAATCATTAATTTTCTCCCATAGATCATCTAAACGTTCAAGACGCACGTGAATTTGGCTAGCAGTGGTACTCTCCGGAAAGTTCTCAATGAATTTGTAGATATTGATGACGGAAGTTTGTTGCCCCTTTTATTTAGTGTAAAGAGACATCAGTGGTGGACCTTCCTTGGATCTTGAAGGCATGTTGACGGATTTTAAAAGAGCAGCGTCTGAACGAATTTACGGATGATGCAACCCGGTGCAGCCTGACAATCCAACAAATCCAAAATCGAAAGAAAAAGGTGAGAGGTGTAGTATCCAAATGGCCCACTTCGGCCAAACATATACTATGTAGTCTCACCTTTGAAACTAATAGCTGCGCTGGATGACCGAAGGATTCTGGTAGCAACCTCGAATTTTCTTAAAACTCGTTCAATGTGCAAGCCAATGTACGATTTGCTTTCATCCACACGTATAGGTTAAATTATCACCGATTCAGGAGTGTCGAAAGAGAAAATGGCGAATGTAGTATCAATAATACAACTACGGCCGGACATATACCGTTTAGCTTTACCTGGGCAAAGAACGAAGGTGCCAACCCAGTACGATCTGAACCCCAATGAAACCGTAGGTTCCATAAAGGGTGATACGGTCAAAATTTGGTCAAGGGAAAACGCGTGTAAATCGGTGAAATCGTTTATTTAAAAAATCAAATTAAATTTCTTTTTCAAGTTCAATTAGTATAAAATTCAGGAAAAATATTCAGTTAGGCTTCCGCTTTTCCAAATTCGAATTGCCGGGCCTTACGCTTGACCCCTGCCATCAGATTTTGTACAGCCACCTTGTCCACCTTCTTCGCCGCAGAAAGCCAGTTTGCCTTGAACTGCTGCTCGCCCTTAGCAGTTTTTTTGGTCTTCTTTAGGTTCCGCTTGACAATAGCCCAGTATTTCTCAATTGGGCGGAGCTCTGGCGTGTTGGGAGGGTTCTTGTCCTTGGGAACCACCTGCACGTTGTTGGCGGTGTACCACTCCATGGCCTTTTTACCGTAATGGCAAGATGCCAAATCCGGCCAAAACAGTACGGAACAACCGTGTTTCTTCAGGAAAGGCAGCAGACGTTTATTCAAACACTCTTTCACGTAAATTTCTTGGTTGACAGTCCCGGAAGCTATGAAAATGCTGCTTTTCAAGCCACAGGTACAGATGGCTTGCCAAACCAGATATTTCTTTGCGAACTTTGACAGTTTCATGTGCTTGAAAACATCTGCTACCTTTCCCCTTCCTTTTGCCGTATAAAACTCCTGTCCCGGAAAGCTGCTTGTAGTCGGCTTTGACGTAGGTTTCGTCGTCCATTACCACGTAGTCAAACTTCGTCAGCATCGTCGTGTACAGCCTCCGGGCTCGCGCTTTGGCCGTCGTATTTTGTTTATCATCGCGATTTGGAGTCACTACCTTCTTGTAAGTCGATAGTCCGGCTCGGTTTTTGGCTCGATGCACGGTTGTAGACGATACATCCAGCTTATTTGCGGCATCTCGGAGAGAGAGGTTAGGGTTTCGCTTGAAACTACCGGAAACTCTCTTTGTCGTCTCAGCGGCTTCCGGTTTTCGATTTCCCCCCGATCCAGACTTCCTGGCTGTCGACAAACGTTCCCCAAACACTTTAATTACATTTGTAACGGTTGATTTGGCAACTTTTAGCGATTTTGCCAACTTTGCGTGCGAGTAGCTCGGATTTTCGCGATGCGCGAGCAAAATTTTGATACGCTGCTCTTCTTGCTTGGACGGCATTTTGACAACTGAAGAGTGAATTCCAAAATCAAAATAGGAGCAACATTCTACACACACACACCTTCAAAATGAGGGGTGTTCAGGTTTTTTAAATGCAAAATTGAAAGAAATACGTCAAGTTGATATTGACCAAATTTTGACCGTATCACCCTTTAATGAATGAGCAAATTTCGTTCCGACTGCACTAGCTATTCCACGATGACTGAACAATAGTATTCAACCAGTACGTGAGGGAAATAAAGCCCTAATAGAGTATCCAACAAAACTTGCTTCGGTAAACATATACTATGCCTCACCTGGACAATCAATGATGATGCAGGGCAATCCAACCGAGGTGAAGTTCAGCGAAGAAAATCGTCGAAAGTAGTTGAGAGATTTAATCTCGAACCTCGCAAATCAGGGTTTTCGTCCGCAAGAAAGTAGAGATCCAATATTCGCCGAAAAGGTACAATTTATTGTTGGAGTACAGTTCACAAATCCAGCAACGGCTGGACATATATTTGTGTTAAAATTTACCTGCCAGAAATTATGGCTCCGCGACGTCCACCGTAGCGTTATCTCAGTCACCGACACCACTCGATATCTGCGAAATCTTTGATTCGGAATATCGTCCACCGTATCTATTCAAGGCAGTCTGCAATCCAAATGACGAATCGCTTTTGGCAACGGTTGAGCCAACGAAACACCTCCCATAGTACGTGTCGAGCGAAGCTCAGTTCCGAGAGTAAGAGTGAAGAAACGAAATTTGGTGTAAGAAAGTTGCAGGTCGATGCTTCGGCTGCACATACACTCGTTCTTACTAACCTGGTAGGAAAGTAGAACAATCTCCTGATTATTCTACGGGTGTTACTGCTTGTAGTGATGGCGCCAATTAAAGATGATGACCACAGCGTGTATGTCCAAGCTGTTCTTTTCGGTTTGAACTCCGTTGAACCCAAGCCAATCGAAGAACAATGATGGCACTGTTGAATAGTGACGATGGCTGGTAGTGATGGTTGATTACACTGGGTTCCCTTTGTAGGGCTGCTGGCAATTGTGCTCTCCGGCACAATGAAGACAACGCCGAATTAATGCCGTCGCGATGGTGGAATAGCCTATTGTAGCATCCTTTGGGCCTCGAAATCCGAAATTTGCCGGAATGTATCTGGCTCGAAGGACCAACTATGTACGTTCGACGGACCAAACCCGTACCCAGCAGCCTACCTTCGAATGCTGACTTCTGCTGACCTTGATAAGAACCGTATCTTGGGAACTTCTTCGCTTCTGGTTTGTATGTCCACTGGGCCATGCAGCATGCACCTTCAGTTTTTACAAACACTACACTTAACACATTAAATTCACACGTCGACATCGGTACCTCCACCATCTCTGCAGTTCTTTATTGCTGATTGGAGGGAAATACATATCCTGCCAATGTTCTCCCTCAGCACGTTCTTTGAAGGGTCACTGACAGCTGATCCATGTATCTATAAGAAAACTTACGTTTAGCACGTAATGGTATATAATGTATGTAAGTCAATACCTCCA